TTAATAATAAATAAATGGTAATATAGTTGCTTATAATATTCCGGCGAATTCACCTGACTTATTAAACATTTGTTTACCCAGTCGTAAATTTTAATATGTAAGATGAATAGGAAACAAGGTAAACTTTGTGTCATATGTATTTTATTCTATTAGGTTTTTGATAAGCTAAAAAAATTATTCGATTGACCGATATCACTAATCAACGGAAGTTTTCTAAAAGCAAATTTTATGAGCTGACTGTGGCTAGACTAGATAGACTTAGATAAGAATGGAATATCGAGGAATACTGCTTGTGGTGGTTATGAATTGTAAAGATATTTGCTGTTTTTTTTTGGAGTTGTTTTTTTTGGTCTAAATATCAGTTTATTGAAAAACGCTGGTCAAATAGAAAATCTTCTTCTCTCCATAAGGATATTTTCTCTTTAAAGGGGGTATCAGGTAACTTGTTGCTAGACTTGATTCGCTTACCAACAAAAAGCGAATCGAAAAAAATAACAGAAAACCCATCACAAAGACCGYCAGGCCCAGGAGCATTGAATTCGACCATCCCAAGAACTCCTAGGTGGGGGAAAAGGCATGACGAGTTGACAGCAGATATGACTGTAGCTTGTAACAGCAGGGGTTTTCCAATGTATTTCAATACGAATCCTGCACTCAAGCTATCCATAGAGTGATTCATCATAGCAACCATTGTGTCCATATTAGACTTGATGGTTATCGTTGAATTGAATACCTTTCCTGTTGATTTTATGAATTTGGTCACCGAGTACTCTCCGAGGAACGGTTTAGATTCAATGGGAAAAGATTGATGGCGCCTCATCTCGAACAATGTCTCGTTCAAAGCAGGAAGTACAGTCGAGTGGATCAAGTCTGCGATCACAAAGCAAGACATAGACCGTGCTGGGAATACATATGCAGCATTCACCAGCACACTAACACCCATTTTCATTTCTGGGATGACCGAGAACACAGCATTATAGCTGTCGATGTTACCTCCCTTTTGACGGGCAAGGAAACCTTTGACGAAGCGCATCTCCCACGGTGAGCCCCACAACCACAAACCATCTCGCGTGATGAAATCAGGTAAGAGMATMTGGTGTATGGTTTCTCGTTTTAATATCCCCTGTCCGTCAACTGTAGTGAACATCTTTGCTAGCTTCATCAAGTCGTTAGTCGTTGAGTACATTTGACCTGCAGGTGCTGCCCATCCCACGTTCATAAAAGGGAGCACTTTGCCATCAGGACTGTAAGGAAGAGCCATATTCTCCAGGACTTTCTTGCTTATTTCAAATCCAGTGTCTTTCATGCCGAGTGGCTGGAGTAYTTGCTTTTCAACCCACTCCTCGAAGGTTGTGTTGAGAAGGTTTTCAGTCAGAAGTCTTCCAAGTWACGCATAACCAAGGTTGCTGTAAGAAGGAGATGTCCAGGGCTCGATCACAAGGTTCTGAGATTTGAGAAAATCAAGTTGTTCGCTAGAGTTAGTGTTGTTGCAGCTGAAACCACACGACGCCTCGCGCGGTATACCCGACATTTGGCTGGCGATTTGTCTGAGTGTGATGTTGGTCTCAGTGAAGGGATTATTAATATGGAAGTTTGGAGCATATTTGCTCAAGGGATCGTCTAATGAGGTAATCATTCCATCTTGGTAGAGTTTGTACAAAAGTATAACGGGAAAGATTTTAGTCACGCTTCCAATTCGATATCTCGTATCATCGTCTGGAGCGTTGGAACCTYTGTAAACYTTGCTGCCATAATGTCCTCGCCAAATAACCTTGTCACGATAGAATATATTGACCGAGATGGCCGACTTGTTTTGGGCAGTTTTGGCAAGGGATTTGAGGTGGTCGTCGATGAGTGTGAGCGAATCCTTGATGGCTTTTGGCAGTGGATTTGGTAATTCAAGTAAAGGTGGTTGTCGTGGACAAGGTATCTCGAAGRTGCTTGGGTTTCTTGTAGATAGAGTCATGGGTTGTTGACTGGGTTTAGCCACCATCCATATAAACAGGGCTGTCATGATTATAGTTGTTATGAAGAAAACCAAGGCGAGGACCGGCCAGATTGGCGAGAACAGGATACGATACTTAATATTAGGTGGACCTAATCTTTCCATGATGTCTGCACTGCAACCAACTCTAGTTCTATCACTGATGTCGCTATGAAGCCGACGCACTGCGACTAAGCAATGATACAGTGTATCTGATTTGACGTCACATGCTTGAGTGGCCGTTGACAAAGAGGTTTGTTTGTTGAGAATTATATTGTATCAGTGGTGCGGTGTTCTTGTTCAGTAGCGGACAGYTGTCGAGACAGTTTAGTTTGGCTTGGTTTGGCTTGGCGTTGCGTGACACTTAATTACGATTCTTCTTTTATGTAGCTTAAGAAATATAATACTCCATATACAGAACTGTGTCTAGCTCGGTAGTTTGCTTGGAAGACTTGAGCATGAATTTTGACAGACACTGGCCAAGAAAAATTAAAAACATGCTCGTATTTTGTTTGGTTTATTTAGTTGATGCAAGCTTGGAGTAACAATTTCATCTATTCATCCACTTCATTCATCCATCTGATACATTCATCCACCCATCCACCCTTCTCTCCATCCTATCACTGATCCTTCTTCCATCCGTCTCGACCCCTTTATCTCTCATAACTTCAAGACCTTTAATCACAAACCCTCGCACATATAACTGAAAAACGCCTAACACTCTTTTTCATCTAGATGATTTTATTTCTCTTATCAGGATGAGGCGAATCTCAGCCCATTTTGTTTGTCGCCCCCTACCAGATGGAAATGAAATTTTCTATAGCTTTCCTGAAACTAAAGTCGACCCTTTATTCGATTTTCATCCTTGATCCATTTTCGCACTTAAGCGACAGTAATTACTTGTGACAGAGCGCGTAATAGTCCATGTAATTCAGCATAAATAGCCAAAGAGAAATGCTTCAGCTCACGAGACTTCTCGACCTTTTACTCTACAAATTCCAGTCCTCAAATGTATTGGACGGCGAATCCAAAGCGCCATTACTGTTTTCATTCGCAAGGAGACAGTGAAGTACCTGTTAACTCAGTCCTATCACAATAGTTTTTATCCTATTTTCAAAGTGCGGGATTACAAAGCTGTTGCAATCTTTATGCCTTGATATATCGGCTTACATCGCTAAATGTCAATCACTCACAACGGCCTTAAGTAAACCTTAATTAATAAACCCTTGGCTATGGATAACCTTTTGACTATTTTAAATTCATGGTGAACAAGTGCAAAACGGATAAAATCAACTTAATAATGGATTTTATCATATTTACCTATCTCGTTCCGTTCTCTAATTCAACTTGAAAGTAATAAACCAACCGATCGCCGATGTGAAGTCTATCCTTTTTTCAAATCCTCGAAAGTAAACGTATAAAAAGCTCTCGTTAAGTGGTATGCTAAAAAGCTAGCTCTCCATGGTAAAATCCTAATGAATATTCAAAGAGAGAACTACTTCAACCAAATCAATTTGCGACAAAAATTTTAAAAATCCATTTTTATGATCAGGTTTTTCTGCCTCAGTTGAACTTGCAATTTTGTTTGTCTATCTGCTTCCCTTGTTAGGACTGGTTTGTCTTTTTTGAAAAACATATATACCTCGGCCAATATGTTCGCACAGCAACGTTTGTAGAATATTATTCAAAAGATAAGGAAAAAACAAATGTCACGCAACCAGAAGTAAGAAAGAGGATGTATCAAGGCTATGAGAAGATATGAGAAGCAGCTGCTGTCGCAGGAAATTTCTTCACAGTAATCCAATAATCGTTTCATAAAGAATTCCGTTCAGGTCAACTCATAGAGCAGAACCTTGGACGTCGAGTTAGATATTACGTAACATGCATCACACCGACCTTTGAAGGACTGTTGTGTAGCAGCCATGCAAGTGGGTAGATTCAAAACTACGAGCACATTGTGATGAAGACACATGATAATGATAATAATGAAGATAATGATGAAAGGTGGTGAAGGTGATTATGGTGATAATGACGATGGACGTCATTATAAAAATAGAAATACATGATGATGATATGGT